AATTTTTCGATTTTACATTTTCCTGTCTGAAATTTTTTTAATTCTATTTTTCGTTTCCCCGACATTTCTGTTGTTCCGGTTTTTTAAATTTTTTTTTTTTTCGATTTTTTTTTAACTTTCGATTCCTTAATTTTTCAACATTCCAATATTTAAAGATTTTCTTTATTTTTCAGTTTTTACATTTTTTGTCGCTTCTATTGGCCAATCTTTCAATTTTTCGATTTTTCGTATTTAAATTTTTCAATTATTCATTTTTTAAAATATATAAGTTTTTCAACTTATCGAGATTCCAATGTTTTGATTTTTCAGTTTTTCAATTTTTCAACTTTTCGTATCACAAAAAGAATGGGAATATTGCAAAATTGAAAATTGAAAGATCAAAAATGAAAAAACGAAAAAGAATAAAAAAACTATGAAAAATCTAAAAATTTGAAATCAAGAATTTGCAAAATTTGAGGAAACGAAGAATCGAAAAACCAAACAAAATTAAAAATTGAGAAACTTAAAAATCGAAAAAGTGCACGATCGAAAAAATTAAATATTGTAAAATCGATTGGAAATTAAAGTAATTGGAAAATCGCATAATTGAAAAGTCCAAAAATTGCAATTGAAACATTTAAAAATTGGAAAATGGAAAAAGATTTTAAATTTGAAGAACTGTATAAACGAAAAGTTATAAAATCCCATGAAATAAAAAAGTAATAAAAGAAATGAAAGCAGGGTTATAGATTTCGATGTTTTTATTTTTTTAATTTTTTGATTTTTCAATTTTTCGATTATTCAAATTCTCGATGTTTGGATTTATAAAATTTGGGCTAATTCGATTTCTCAATTTTTCGACTTCTCAACTTTCGATTTTCCGATCTTTTTGTTTCAATTTTTCCGTGTTCCAGTGTTTCCATTTTTCGATTTTCCGATTTTTCGGCTTTTCAATTTTCGTTTTTTTTGATTTTTAAAATTTTTGATTATTCGATTTTTTGATTGAACAATTTTTCGATTGTTCAGATTTGGAATTTTCAAAGTTTCGATTCTTTAATTTATTGGATTTCTCGATTTTTTACTTTTTGAATTTTCCAATGTTTCGATTTTTCAGCTTTCCATTTTTTCAGTTTTTAAATTTTTTTATTATTTAATGTTTCAATTTTTCAATTTTTCCATTCTTTGTCTTTCGATTTCTCGATTTTTCGTTTCTTTGATTCTTCAGTTTCCCGATTTTTAATTTTTCCAATTTTTCGACACTTTAATTTTGGTATTTTTCAATTTTTGGTTTCTTGAATTTTCTAATTTTTCATTTTTTTGTTTTTTCGATTCATGACTTTTGGTTTGTCAGTGTTTCGTTCTTTTTAATTTTGCATTTTTCAATTTTTCGATTTTTGGTTGTTTCGATTTCCCGATTTTAAATTGTTTATTCAGTGTTTCGATTTTTCGATTGCCCGACAGTTCTGTTTTCGATTTTTAAAGTTTATTGGCTTTTTGATTTTCTGATTTGTCGATTTTTTTAGTGTTTGATTTCCCAATTTTATAACATTCCAATTTTAGAAAATTTTTAATTTCTGGATTTTCCAATTTTTTTGTCGTTTCGATTGTTCAATCTTTCATTTTTGGACTTTTCATATATCGATTTTTAAATTTTTCGTTTTAAAAAATGTTTCAGCTTCTCAATTTATCGAGATTCCGATGTTTTAATTTCTCAGTTTTTCGTTTTTTCAATTCTGGTTTCAAAAAAATGGAAATATTGCAAAATTGGAAAAATGAAAAATTGAAATTGAAAAAACGAAAAAGTATAAAAACTGTGACAAGTCAATAAATTGGAAATCAAGAATTTGAAAAATTGAGAAACTTAAAAATCGAAAAAGTGCGAAATCGAAAAGGCGAAATATTCTAAAATAGGAACATTGAAAATGAAAGAAATCGGAAAATCGTATAATTGAGAAGTCCAAAAAATCCAAAACTGAAACATTTTTCGATTATTCGACTTTTCGATTTTTCAGTTTTTCAACTTTTCAATTTTTTTTGTTACGATTTTTCAGTTTCTCGATCTTTCAATTTTTCGATGCTTGGATTTATAGAATTTGGGCTAATTCGATTTCGATATTTTCCGAATTTTCGACTTCTCAACTTTTCGATTTTCCGTTCTTTTGAAATTTCGGCTTTTCGATTTTCGTTTTTCGAATTTTTCGACTTTTCAGTCTTGGTATTTTCGAATTTTTTGATTGTTTAATATTTTTGTTTTTTTCATTTTTCCGTTTTTCGATTTTTCGTCGTTCTTGGATTTTTCAATTTTTCAATTTTTTAAATTTTACGTTTTTCAATTTTTCGGTTTTACGATTTTCCAATTTAAAATTTTTTAATTCAATTTTTCGATTTTTCGTTTTCCCGACATTTCGGTTTTTCGATCTTGAAAAGTCTCGATTTTTTAAATTTTCAATTTCTCAATTTTTTAACATTTCAATTTTTGAAAATTTTCTGGAGTTTTTAGGTTTTCCATTTTTTGTCGTTTCTGTTGCCCAATCTTCCAAATTTTCTATTTTTAGAATAAAAATAGGAAATATTGCAACATTGTAAAATGGAAAAATCAAAAATGAAAAAACGAAAAAGTATAAAATAAAATCTAGGAAAAATGTAAAAACTGGAAATCAAGAATTAGAAAAATTGAAGAAACGAAGAATTGAAAAATCAAAGATTAAAAATTGAGAAACTTAAAAATTGAAATGTGCTAAATTGAAAATCGGAATATTGAAAATTAAGAGAAGTCCAAAAATTGCAAAATTAAATTGAAAATGTTTAAGTTTTTCAGTTTTTAAATGTTTCAATTTTCCAATTTCTCGATTTTTCAACTTTCTGGACTTGTCAACTTCTCGATTTCCCGATCTTTTTATGATTCCATTTTTGAGTTTTTCGATTTTTCGATTTTTGAGCTCTTCAATATTCGTTTCTCCAATTTTTCGATTTCTCAATTTTTCGACATTTCAGTTTTGGTATTTTCCAATTTTTGGATTGCTGATTTTTTTTTTTTTAAGTTTTCGATTTTACAATTTCCGTTTTAAAATTTTTTAATTCGTTTTTTCCTTAATTTTTCAAAATTACAAATTTTCGATTTTTTGTGTTTGGATTTTTCAATTACATATTCATTTTTTAAAATATCTCAGTTTTTCAACTTATCGAGATTCCAATGTTTTGATTTTTCAGTTTTCAATTTTTCAACTTTTCGTATCACTTAAAAATGGAAATATTGCAAAATTGAAAAATCAAAAATGAAAAAACGAAAACGTATAAAACAAAAACTATGAAAAATCTAAAAACTGGAAATCAAGAATTTGAAAAATTTGAGGAAACGAAGAATTGAAAAATTAAAAAAAAATAAAAATTGAGAAACTTGAAAATCGAGAAAGTGGATGATCGAAAATATGAAATATTGTAAAATCGGATTATTTGAAATTAAAGAAATCGGAAAATCGCATAATTGAAAATTTCAAAAATTACAATTGAAACATTTAAAAATTGGAAAATGGAAAAAGATTGAAAATTTGAAGAACTGAATAAACGAAAAGTTATAAAATCGAATGAAATAAAAAAATAATAAAAGAAATGAAAGCAGGGTTATACATCTCGATTTTTTAAATTTTTTCAATTTTTCAATTTTTTGATTTTTCGATTTTTTGATTCTTCAATTTTCCGATTTTTCAACTTCTCGATGATTGTATTTATAGAATTTGGGCTAATTCGATTTCCCTATTTTTCGACTTCTCAACTTTTCGATTTTCCGATCCTTTTATGTTTCAAGTTCTCCATGTTTCCATTTTTCGATGATTCGATGTTTCGGTGTATCCAATTTTTATTTTTTAATTTTTCGATTTTACAATTTCACAATTTAAAATTTTTTTAATTCAATTTTTCGATTTTTTGTACGCCGTTATTTCTGTTTTTCGATTTTTAAAATTTTTTGGCTTTTCCATTATCTGATTTCTCGATTTTTTCAATTTTCGATTTCTTAATTTTTCAACATTTAAATTTTTCTGTATTTTTCAGTGTGGAATTTGAATTTTTTAAAAACTAGAACTGACCTAAAGCGCCTATTTTGCCATTTTCGGGCCTAAATCCCCGGTTTTTATCCCTTATTCTAGGACCTATTGTGTCGTTTTTAGCCTAAACTCCTCACTTTAATCATCACGGAACAAATTAACAATCAAACTTCAGTTAAAGACAACGCCGGCGCTCCCCGGAAAATCTAATAACATTTAAACTTCCTAGTTAAAATTAGTTTACTTCTTACTAACCGATTGATTCACTTGAATCTAATCCGTGCCTCCAGCCTTTACAAGAACTAATCTCTTAATGAAATCTCAGAACGGCGTGCAATCGAAGACATACCTAATACATTACCTACATTACGTACCAGTTCGAAACTCCTCTCCCGGCGCTCCCTGTTTTTTCAACTGTTATTTTTGCACGCTTTTGTCAAAAAATAGAATTCCTTTGTGTTGAAAAGGTTGCCACTCATGTGGGGGAAATCAGGCTTGAATAAAAGAAAAGTATTCGTGGATACAACGTGAATTTCGTGTAGTGTCACTACCAAACGTTTCTGTGTACATAATTGCGCTCTTAAAGGCACATCAAAAGCACAGTTCTTGTCACGAATATAATATAGCGTCGGCGTTTTTAAAAAGGGAGAAACACTCCAAAGGTATGTGGAGGTTGGAGGCACTGTTATAAATATGCAATTCGGCACGCGGGATGAATAAATAATTCGTAGTTAATAAAAGTATTCGGTGGCGTACTTTTAATTAAGAGAAAAGTTGATAATTTATTGTTTCTCACACCGTACCGGAAAGAAAAGGACTGCAGGAAACTTAAGATGTGAACATAGACGTAGAGAAAAGACGATAACGCACGACCTTAAAGAATTACAAACATAAAATCGGGCGTTTTAGAGAAAAGCGTCCCAAGCTACACTTTAAACACAAAAGAGAAAATATTTTTATAAGGGATGTAATACTTACATAAGGTAGTAGCCCGAGTTGTGTTTATGGAACGCTAAATCTACCCCGACCCCACACAGAACTGAAACAAAATAAACACATTAGTTCACATATTTAGCACGTGGAAACAAACAAATTGTTGGGTTAAAGCAACAGAGGTAAAAAATTGGTCGAAGGAATCATATTAATTTTTCGTGTGAAGGACATTATTTTATATTTATCAATATTAATTTCTAATTTATTACCATTACACTATCTAACCATTTTATCAATGCTAGTAATTTCGGAGGCTTTCACGGTCGGAATCAATACATGATCGTTTTCCGGGTTGGAACCGTGTAAATTAAGTTTTGGGCTCAACGTTTCGCATACTTTCGTAAGTGGCATCTTCAGGAGCAGGGTTAAGAATAAGGCAAAAGAGCACGGTAACCCAGTATGTCAACAATACCAGAAGCGAAACCCTTTTTAAGTATATTAAGAAAAAATGAAACCCCACCCATACCTGCCCTGATAGAAATAGTAATGAAGTTTTTATCCATTGGCAGACCTAAGGGGGGAGCCTAAGTAAATAAAAATTTACCATTTTAAACGTGTTTCAGTCATCACAATTAAGATGAGGTGGGTGGGCGGGGTTTATATTTTGCGTTTTTTTCTGAATATAACTTTTATAGTATTCTTTGAACAACACGACACAATACACATTTTTAATTTCTTGTAAAGAAATAAGTATTTTGCATTTAAGCTCCGTCCCCTTGGTTCACGGCGAATAAAAAAAAAATCATCACAATTGAGACAGGGTGGGTGGGCGGGCTTTCATTTTGCCTTTTTGTTTTAATATGTGTAGACTTCTTTTCACAACATGAAACTTAAAACATGTTTAAAATGGAAAATTTGTATAAGGATATATGGATTTTGCAATACATTTCGCTCCATAATTGCAAAATCCATGTTTCCTTGCAAAAATCATTTTAACTATGTTTTAAGTTTCTTGTTATGAAGAGATGGCTACATACATTAAGAAAAGAAAAGGCAAAATATAAGCCCCGGCCACCCACCCTATCTCAATTGTGATGAATTTTTCATTCGTTGTCATATCGTGGGGTGGGGCTTAATTGCAAAATCCATATTTGTCTACAAGAATTTATCAATTTAAATATGTTTTAAGTTTCTTGTTCTGAAAAGTCGAGTGTGAGAAAAAGGCAAAATATAAACCCCGCCCACCCGCCCTATGTCAATTGTGATGATCTTTTTTTAATCGTCGACAGCCAAAGGGGCAGAATTAAAATGCAAAATTCTTATTATTTCTCTACAAGAAATTATCATGTGTAAGACATTTTTTTGAGTACCGTGTTATTCAAAAAATACTATGTGTATAAGGAAAAAATTAAAGCCAAAGATTAAGCCCCGCCCATATCTGCCCTGAAATTGTAATGAAGTTTTTATTCGTTGGCAGATCTAGGGGCGGAGCCTAATTGCAAAATCTATATTTCCTTACAAAAATTTACCATTTTAAACGTGTTTTACGTATCTAAGAATAAAGAAAATCGTCACAATTGAGATGGGGTGGGTGGGCGGGGTTTATATTTTGCCTTTTTTTTCATTTCCTTAATTTTTGTTGTTTCTTTCGATTTTCCAATTTTTCGTTGATTCAATTTTTCGAATTTTCACGCCAATCGATTCCAATTCGTCGATTTTCCAATTTTAAAAATTTTCAGTTTGCAGTTTTTGGGTTTCTACCACTTTCGTTAAACTTTAATTTTTTCAAATTTTCGACAGTTTTATACTTCGATTTCTCAATTTTTTTTTCATCTTCGATGTTTTAATTTTTCTTTTTTAAAATGTTACAATTTTTTTTATTTCTTGATTTATGGAATCCAGATGTTTGGAAGTTTTGATTGTTCAGTTTCTCAATTTTTTTCTATTTCTCGATGTCTCGATTTTTGGATTTTCCGGTTTTTCGATTTTCCAATTTTCCGATGTTTCGATTTTTCAGTTATCCGATTTTTCAATTTTTTTAAATTCTGGAGATTCGATTTGTCGCTTTTTCAGTTTTCCGATTTTTTGATTACATAATATATATTTTTTTTATTTTCCCGTTTCTCGAATTCGCAGTTTCCATTTTTCAGTTCTTCAATTCTTCGATTTTTGGATCTTTCGGTAGGCTAATTTTTTAATTTCTCAATTTTGGATATTTGTCTCAGTTTTGGGATTTTTCAATGTTTCTATTTTTCGATTTTTTATTTTTTGGATTTTCATTTTTTCGTTTTTTAAACTTTAGATTTTTCAATTTTCGACTGTTTTATATATATTTCGATTTCTGAATTTTTCGTTTTTTCAACTTTTCGGTTTATCGAGATTCGGATGTTTCGATGTTTTGATTGTCTCAGTTTTTCGATTTTTCGGTTTTTCGTTTTTTTACTTTTCGGCTTTTCGATTTTTGACTTATCCGAGTTTTCAATTTTCCAATTTTTTAAATTTTCAAGTTTTAATGTTTCTGAATTTCCAATTTTCTGATTTCTCAATTAATCTATTTTTCGATTTTCCCATTTTCGACTTGCCAAGCTTTCGATTTTTCAGTTTTTCAGTTCCTCAATTTTTCGATTTTTCAATTTATCAATTTTGGGATTTTTTAGTATTCCGACTTTTGGATTTTTCATGTACTGGATTTTTCGATTTCTCGACTTTTTACTTTTTGGATTTTTAATTTTTCGTTTTTTGAACTTTCGGTTCTCACAATCTTTCAACTTTTCTTAAACGTGTTTTAAGTTTCTAAGAATGAAAAAAATTAAAATTAAATAATTACATAGCTAAAACAAAAACTGGAAAACTTGCAAATAAAAATTAAAGAAACAAAAAATTGAAAAATCTTGAAACAGAAAAGTATAAAATTGAAAAATTATAAAAACTAAAATTTCAAAAATCGAAACATTTTGAACCGAAAAATTGAAAATTTTCACATTGAAAACTAGTAAAACTATAAAATTAGAACAATGAAAAATTGAAAAATAAAAAAAAAGAACCAAAACAAAAAATTGCAAAAAAAAATTGAAGGCAGGAAAAATTGAGAAACCTGAAAACTGAAAAATTAAAAATTGAAAATTCATGAAATTGCAGATCGAAAAATTTTAAAATCTAAAAATTGGAACAGCTAAAAGTTTCATTTTTGGTTTTTCAGTTTTACAATTTTTCGATTTTTTCCATTTTTTTATTCGAGAAGTTGGAAAATCGAAAAATTTCAAATCGAAGAACAGAAAAACGAAAACAGAATCGTCAAAATTATGGTGTCAGAAAATCGTAGATACCATTGAAAGAGCGAAAAATTGAAAAATTATGGAGGAATTGAATAATTAGAAATTGAATAAATGAAGAAGTTTAAAATCCAGTAACTGAAAAATAAAAATTATAAAACAGTAAAATTGAGAAAATGAAAATTTTTAGAAATTATAATTATTACATATTTAAAACAAAACCTGGAAAAATTGCAAATAAAAATTGAAGGAACAAACAATTGAAAAATCATGAAACTAAAAAATCTAAAAGTTGAAAAAACGGAAAATTTAAAATCGAAAAATTAAAAAATATCAAATTGAAAATACTAAGTAAAATTATAGAATTAAAACATCGAAAAACCGAAAAATCAAAAAAACAAAGAAAAATTGAAGATACAAAAAAGTGAAAAATCTTGAAACTGAGAAATATAAAATTGAAAAATCGAAATATTTTAAACCGAAAAATTGAGAAATCCAAAAATTGAAAACTTTCGCACTGAAAACAAGTATAATTGTCAAATTTCAACAGTAAAAACCCGAAAATTGAAAAGAAGTAAAAATGAAAATCCCAAACGAAAAATTGCAAAGAAAAAAATTGAAGACGTGAAAAATTGAAAAGCCTAAAAACGGAAAAATTAAAAATTGAAAATTCATGAAATTGCAGATAGAAAAATTTCAAAATCTAATAATTGGAACATGAAAATCGAAAAATTTCAAATCGAAGGTCTGAAAAAAAGAAATTGGAAAACACGATAATTCTAAAAACGAAAGATAGAATCATCAAAATTATACGTTCGTTTTATCGGTTGTTCTTCAATGTCTCTATTTTTCAAATTTTGATTTCTCAATTTTTTAATTTTCGATTATTCGATTTTCCGCTCATTAGTAGATACTTTTATATTTTTCGACTTCTTAATTTTTCAATTTTACCATTTTTCAGTTATTGAATTTTAAAACTTTTTCATTTATTCGATTTTTAATTTTTCAATTTCTCCACAATTTTTCAATCCTTCAGTGGTACCTATGCTTTTTCGACTTCATAATTTTGAGGATTCTCTGTTTCGTTTTTACAATTTTTGTGTTTTCCAATTTCTCGAATTTTCGTTTTTCAGGTCTTCGATTTGAAAATTTTCAATTTCACGGTTTTTCAATTTTTTGATTCTTCAATTTACAGATTTTTAAATTTTAATCAATAAATTGAAAAACCGAAAAATTTTAAAAATAAAAAAAGTAAAAGACTATAACGAAACATTGCAAATCGAAAATTGAAGAAACGGAAAAATCGAAAAACAAACAGAAATTTGCAGAAAAAAATATAGAAAATAAAAAAACCAAACGAGAAGAGAAATATAGAGAATAAAAAAAAATCATCACAATTGGGCGGGGACTATATTTTCCCTTTTTTCTTAATATACATCATAGTATTCTTTGAACAACACGATACTCATTTCTAATTTCTTGTAAAGAAATAAGTATTTTTAAGATATTTTAATCTTTCAATGTTTTAAATTTTTGAATTTTTCGATTTTTCAGTTCTTCAATATTTTTTAATCTGTAAAATATAAAATTGAAAAAATATAAAAACTAAAATTTCAAAAATCGAAAAATATTAAATCGAAAAATTGAAAATTTTCACATTGAAAACTAGTAAAACTATAAAATTAGAACAATGAAAAATTGAAAAATAAAAGAAAAGAACCAAAACAAAAAATTGCAAAAAAAAAAAATTGAAGGCAGGAAAAATTGAGAAACCTGATAACTGAAAAATTAAAAATTGAAAATTCATGAAATTGCAGATCGAAAAATTTTATAATCTAAAAATTGGAACATCTAAAAGTTTCATTTTTGGTTTTTCAATTTTACATTTTTTTGATTTTTTTCATTTTTTTATTCGAAAAGTTGGAAAATCGAAAAATTTCAAATCGAAGAACCAAAAAACGATAACAAAATCGTGAAAATTATGGTGTCAGAAAATCGTAGATACCATTGAAAGAGCGAAAAATTGAAAAATTATGGAAGAATTGAATAATTAGGAATTGAATAAATGAAAAAGTTTAAAATCCAGTAACTGAAAAATGGAAAAATTATAAAACAGTAAAATTGAGAAAATGAAAATTTTTTGAAATTATAATTATTACATATTTAAAATAAAACCTGGAAAAATTGCAAACAAAAATTGAAGGAACAAAAATTGAAAAATCATGAAACTAAAAAATCTAAAAGTTGAAAAATCGGAAAATTTAAAATCGAAAAATTAAAAAATATCAAAT